TTTTCGGAGGGAAGATGTTCGGTCTTTCACCGATAGAAAAAAGGGATATCCTTGTTTTGTTATGTATAACATGTTTAGTTTTTCATGGAATTTACTATTTCTTCCCCCCCCCCCTGCATCTCACAGCTTAAACGATGGGAACGGAAGGAATGTAAACCGAACAGCCTTCCGGTTTTGCATAAAATGCATGTTAAGGTCGGAGATACAATTAAAGTGATTTCAGGCCGTGATAAGGGCAAGATTGGAGAGATAAGCAAGATCTTCAAGCATAACAGCACCATCGTGGTGAAAGATATCAACCTGAAGACTAAGCATATGAAGAGCAGAGAAGAGGGTCAACCGGGACAGATAATCAAGGTCATTTATACTAATTCCGGTTTTTTATACTAAGGACATCCTTTTCATCCGTCCCTATACGTTTCTGATGCTTGAATTGTGTGGCATTACATATCGAAGCACCGATCCACAGCTCAAACGTGATGCTGTATTCGAAAGAGAAAGAAGTGACCAGCCGGGTGGGTCATAAAGTGTTGGATGACGGGAAAAAAGTCCGGTACCTCGTAAAGACAGGAGAAAACATTGACAGTGACGAAAACTGGAAGAAACTGCCAAAGAGAAAACTGAAGTAGCTGCTGCTGCTCCTGCAGCTGATTCTCCTGCTGTCTCTTAGAACCTAAAATGTCATAATTTTGAAAACTATTGTGGCTCCTGGAAATCTAGATTCTTTTATCTGTAGTCTTCCATGTTTATGCTTCAATTACTTTGACATATATTGAAAGATTGCCAATTCATTTTTGCTAACAGCAAATATTTCTGTTGATCATGGATATGTACAAGAATTTACGCTAAAATAACAACAATTCTTCTACTATCAAGATCCACTTGGCTTGTGCTGTGAACTCGATTTAAATCAACTTAAACAATAATAGAACCAATAATTGGGTCGTTATCATAATTTCAACTTTAAGAAAACCATAACTTAATGGAATGACATGAAATTAGATAAAAAGTTGTAAATTCAATCCATCTTTTTCCTATAAATATAAGTTATTTTGGAAACCAGTTCTTCCATTATAGGAAAAGAAAAGTGCAATGAACCCTTTTCCCCCACCACAACCTTTTAGGTTAATAAACAGTGAAAGCTCACATGCATTTACATTTTCAAGTCAAGAAACTGATTATTTGCACATGCATTTACATTTTCAAGTCAAGAAACTGATTATTTGCCCGTGAACATTTAAATAAAAAATATTAAACAATTGTTTAAAATTTTGCATCAATCAAGAAATATTTAAATATGTAATGACTAAACGATGCTTCGTTATTTTCTATAAAGGTTCCATAATTATGACAATTTAATATAATTAATACATGGTGAGTTGTTAGATTAACTCTTAATTATTCTTTTAATAGTAAGTCAAAAAAATATTTATTAATGACATATACGGTTTGAGTGGGGGGAGGCCTTAGCTTTTGATTGGACGAGAGTATTAAGAAGATGGAGGGTGAACTTAGTGCTCCGGCGGAGGAGAAGACGGCAGTGGCGCCATCTCCGACGTATTGTGTCACCGGGGCCACCGGTTACATCGGTTCATGGTTGGTGAAGCTTCTTCTTGAAAGAGGTTATAAGGTTCATGCCACAGTGAGAAATCCAGGTTTGATCTCATTTGTTTAATATTATTTACGTGTAATTTAAGTGTTTGTTAAGAATTAGATAGAAGGTTATATCTTATATTAATATCGAGATGGGATTAAATTATTTAAAAAACATTAGAGTTAAAAAAAAAGGGAAAATATACTAGACATGCATGCATATCTAGAAAAACATCATGATGCAGTCGAGTCGGATCGAATTCAAGGTACAAGAAGCTCAAGTTCAATTTGGAATTCGAGGCTCGAAGTTTGAATCGCGCTTGATCGAGTTTTGTTTTAAATCTCAAGCTTTCAAGCTTGATTCGAGAAAAAAAATTCAAGTATTAGGACACTTGATTGCTCTTGAACTTGTTTGATTAGGCTTGATTAAGATTGTTTATCTGGTGAATAATAAGTGTGGTTCCAATGTTTCATCTTGAGTTCGAATCTAAATTCTTGATACTAACTAAAAATGAAAGTGCACTATTATACTTTCGAGTTATTCGTGTCAAGTATCATGACCGAGCTGAATATGATCGAATAAATCGGAACCCGACATGTGTTTGTTGAATCAGTTGAATGGTTTTCAGTAAAAACTAAAATGAAGCCTAATGAAATTTCAGAAAATGCTGTGCATCTATTATCATTGTGGAATGGGGATGACCAACTGAGATTATTCAAAGCTGATTTGCTTGAAGAAGGGAGCTTTGATGAGGCTGTCAATGGCTGCAATGGTGTATTTCATGTGGCAGCTTCAATGGAATTCGAGGTCAATTCGAGGGAGAATATTGGTAAATTCTGTATTTTTTATCTTCAAACCATTTTCGTTCAGATTTCGACAGTTCATCAATCTAACAGAGCATTTGAATTTTCCAAGAATCATATGTTAGATCAAATATCATTGAGCCTGCAATCAAAGGCACTGAAAACCTCCTCAAATCTTGCTTGAAATCCGACACTGTGAAAAGGGTTGTTTTCACATCATCCATAAGCACTATCACTGCTAATGACAGCAATGGAGATCGGAGATCTGTTGTTGATGAATCTTGCCAAACTACATTTGAACATGTCTTGAATGCAAAAGCAAGTGGATGGGTATAAAGCTTTCTGCCTCATCTTTTTGTTCTTCCTACAATGAAATTGTGATATGTTTGTGTGTGTGTGTATGTATGCATGTATGGATATATATATATATATATATATATTGCCGGTTTTCAACAGGTTTATGTCCTCTCCAAGCTTTTGACTGAAGAAGCAGCATTCAAGTTTGCAAATGAGAATGGTATTGATCTTGTTTCGGTGATAACCACAACCGTAGCCGGTCCTTTCCTCACGACGACTGTTCCCTCTAGCATCCAAGTGCTCTTGTCACCAGTCACAGGTTATCAGCAACAAATTCCAATTCGTTTTCGAATTATGACATCATTAGAGAGATGTCTACATTTTGGTTTTGGTTTTATTTCCGCAGGTGATCCCAAGTACTCCTCGATACTGTCGGCTGTAAACGCTAGAATGGGGTCGGTTGCTTTAGTTCACATCGAAGATATATGCAGGGCACACATATTTCTGATGGAGCAAGCCAGAGCAGAAGGTAAATACATGTGCTGCTTCCGTAGCTGTCGGATGTCTGAACTGATTAATCGCCTAGCTCGAGAGAATCTAAGCTCAAATATTCAGAGGTAAGGTTGTCAATCAATGGTTTTAGAAAAGATGAAATTTAGTAATCCGATATGTTCCCACTTTGGTTTTCCTACGGTTCCAGGTTGGAGGCCGAGGAGGAAAGTTCAAAACTTCCCGAGATTTCTTCGAAGAAGTTAAGAGATTTAGGCTTCACTTACAAGCATGATATAGAAGACATAATCCATCAAGCGATCACTGCCTGTGTAGATTTTGGATTTCTGCCCCGTACCAGAAGGTGATACATTGTGTCCCTACTCTCCTAGCAGTTAATAATGCATGCAACTACCCAGACCGAGTTTACCAAGACATAAGCACGTCATGCGGCATTAACGGATCGAACGGCGTCAATCTTGGCGACAAACGTGCTCTATGTTCTTACACCATACTTAGACTAACTGATGAAGGTTGAGCAGACTAAAACACTTCATGCTGACTGACTCATTTGCCTTCATGAAATGGGGCCACATAAATGAACAATTGGCTTGTGAATTGTTGAAGAAGTACACATAATCTACATCTTTAATGCAAAAGTTACTTCTTCAACTAACTCAACAAACCTTTCCTTTAATGGTCCAATGTTGGTTATATAGATTGCTATATCCCACTTCGCTTGATTTGGGACCATTTTTAGGACAACTTCAATTTTCTTACCAACCCTATTTTGGTTGACAATGGTAGTTTCAAGGGGCATTATGAACTCACAAAAGTTCTGCAATTTTAATGAGTTAGAGAAATCCATGCCATTGCAGTCAACATTAGAATAAGGCACCTATGAACACAAGGATATGGCCTTCCAAAGATCCTCGAATTCTTAACTCAGAAAATTTTAAGTATACCCTATGTTGAATATGTACCCGCATTCGATATTTATAACCGAGTTCGAGTTTCGAAAAGATTGGTTCAACTGAGAATGGCTCAGGAAGTTGCTGAATAGTCTAAATCAGTTTTTGGAATTGGAGGAAAATAAAGATCTTTCATTTGAGTTCATCTGCTTCCAAACTACCCCCAATCCAAATATTTAAGACACAATTGAAAGGAAGTCAATCCAGAATTTATGTTCTGTTCAGACAGGTGAAATGAGAGGGGGCTTGCATTCATTTATGACATGCATGTGCCAGAGAGCTTTTAAAAGCTCCTTCTGTTTAACCAGTGAAATTCATTGTTTGAAATTCAAGAGAGCAGAACAAATAAGGGTTGTTTATTTTGTACAAGATTTAAGATAAAAAAAAGAACAAGACAGAATTACAGATGTCTATGCTGATGTTTTTCAAGGTTTTTGTCTTGTTGGAAAGGGATTAAACAATGTTTTGAACCTTACCCTCTCCAGCCAGGACCACGTGCACTCATGCTTTTGTATTAGCTAGTGGACAACATCAAAATTCATTATTATTATTATTTCATTGTTTTTCTTATCAGACAACACATAAACATGCTTGGAAGACTCCCATGTTCTTAAATCACTAATCAATAATTAAACTTGTTCTCTAAGCATTATTAAATACATAATCATGCAACTGGTTTGATCAAGCATGATTTTTCTCAAATATTTTATCTTCATTCAAATCCTGAATTTGTCTGTATGTATGTGAATATCTTCATCAACAATCACAGTTCTTGAAGAAGAAAGAAGACATGAATCTGAGATGCACAAACCAGACATATTTAACAAGAATGATAATTCTTTCAAAAAAAAAAAAAAAAGAGGGATTCACATGAACATTAGAGTGGCAAATTCTAAGTGAAAAGCATTTGAAATTTGTTTTCTTCAAGGTTTGCAGATTACCACAAAACAAGGAAGGAGAGCTCTAGGATTGAGCAGGTAAAGTTCTTCGATGTTCGAATACAGACCGACTTTTCCGGCCAGTGAATCGAATCCGGTTTGGCCTGCCATTTCTTGTATGTTCTCCAAAGGTCTATGGACTCTACCAGCTATGACTCTGCAAACTATCAATGCTTTCCTTATAGATGGATCATCATCTTCAACAACTTGAACGGATTCATAAGCTCTTCCACTCGTGGAAGTCGTGAACACACCGAGTCCTTCCTTGAGTTCCTTCTTCGTCGAGAATCCGTTTCGAATAATCCGACAAACCCAACATCTTTCCGATATGCAGAGACTCGACGAGCCATTTAGGCCAAGAGAACATGCCACGGTGGTGCCATAGAACCGCAACAGCTCGTTTCCATCGGCAATGCACCGAGGATGTTTCTTGGGGAGCTTGCTTGCTTTAACCTTCACCATCTCCCTGTATTCCTCGAACCGAGCCAGGGTTTTTTGCATGTTGTGGACTTTCAGGACCCTTTGGATCCGACCGCAATGGTTCTCAGACTTCAACCAACTCGTTCGACATATGATTTCGACAATCTTTCTCGATGAGTCACCTTCCACAAGCTCAGTAACTGCCAAAAGATGCAGAATGTTCAACACAATGAAAAGGGTATCTAGGAAATATGTTAAAAAGTGAACCTGTAAAGAAAAAAGCTTGGATTGTTCATTTTAAAAAGGGGGAAAAAGACTAAATTTTTGTGGTGAGAGGAAGATAAGAAATCAATGGAGGACAATACCAGCATGCTTAGAGAGATGATGTGTTTCAGCAGCTTCCCATTTGGTAAATTGTTCTCCACATTTGTGACAAGTGATTGTAGAACATCCATTGGAATCAGTCTCGAGTTGAACTCTATTGCTTGAATGGCCAGAACTTTTCTTTTCTGATAGAAGGAGAGGTGATTTCCTTGTAGGAGTAGCAGAAGAATTCCTATTGAAATAATGCATTGTCGGGTGACCACCAGGCCCCGGTGTTCCAGGCCTTAAGGTTCCAACAAAAGTCGAGCCACCACCGCCGCCGGCGCCGCCACCATTGGTGACACCATCTTGGAACCCTCCAAAGCCAGTGATTTTAAGCTCACACCTCGAGTTACTGAGAATGACTTCGTGGGTTATGGGGTTGAGGAACTCACTGCTACCAATGGATCTCGGACTGCAAGTCGGTGGCTTCTCTAAATGTCTCTTGCTTCCATGGATGACATCCTTGAGATTTGCTATGGACCTTGAACAACCAGACCTGCCTGCTTTCCTCGTCGATATTGTACTCAACTGCTTCCTGGTTTTCGGGTCATGAACATCTGATAGCTCTGATTTACATTGCAGAGATCTCTTCAAAGAAAACCAAACTGTTGCCATCTTTCTTCTTCTTCTTCTCCAACAATTTCAAAACAAAAAATGGATTCAATTACTCTACACCACTAGTTTCGCCATGGAATCTGGTGTTTCAAGCTTTGCATTTTACTCTCTTTCCCAGCAATTTGCTTTCCATTCTTGGAACCATATGAACTCAGCAGCTCCTGTAGAAGAAAACATCATCGAAAAAGAACTGCAGCACAACACCTGGATTTTCTTTTAAAAGGATTAATAGAAGAAGATAAACTGAAATCAATCTAAGAACTTAAATGTAAGCATCTTGCTGCTGTACGGCAGTTTCTTACATGAAAGCTCAGCTCATCACTACTCATCATCCCATGAAAATATGTTTTTCAGCCTTTTCTGATTAAATGGCTGTCCATGTAATAATAGGAAAAATAAAAGAAGAGCCACAGGTCACTAGGCCAATTTTAAAATAAAAATTTAAAAATATAATCATACCTTTAATTATTGAATTGATTTGGTTCATAATTATATTTACTATTTCTAAAATATATAAATCTTATCCAATTTATTCTTATGGTGAAAACTATATTTATTATAATTATTACTTTTGCATGGTAAGTTTATAAATGGAATAGCAATTTATAAGTGGAAAGATGAAATGTAAACTAGGAGAATATTTTCTCAAGTAATTGAAGACAATGACAAATGACCCTAAAATTAATTAGGGTAAATTATAAATTTCATCACTAAAATTTACTCTCTCTCCTATTTTTCTCACTGAACTTTAAAATTTTCCAATTTCATCACTGCACTTAATATATTCGGTTTTTTGTCACTCCGCCATTAAATAGTTAACGGTGTTAAAACGACGTCATTTTATAAAACACATTTTTTATCAAAATGACGTCGTTTTTCATATATATAAAAAATAAAAGCCATTTATAACCCCGTTAGTGAGAAAACGATTGAGTGACAAAAAAATCCAATGTATTAAGTTCAATGAAGAAATTGAAATTTTTTTAAAGTACAGTGACTGAAATAGGAGATAGAGTAAAGTTCAATTATCAAATTTGTAATTTAACCAATTAATTAAGACCTAATTTGTAAGTAATCCCTCTAATGATTCATCACCTTTTCAAATTAGTCCCTGTAATCCGTTAACATTAGACCATTGGCAAAATTTTGTCCATGTACATGGACTACATTTCAAAACATGATGGAAATACAATGACCCATTCGCAAATTAGACCATCAATTAAAAGTAGCTTTAATAATTGCCGTGGATTGCTTTTTGACGAACATACTAGTAAAATATCAAAAGTGTAATGAAATTTTATTCATATAAATAAAATTAAAAGTCTTTTAATTGAATAGCTAAATTCATTATTGTAATAAGTTTTTTTAATATTTTTTATTAATATAAAATGTTAGAAGGTAGTATATATTTATAATTTTCTTAGTTAATTGAGATATATATATATATATATATATATATATATATATATATATATATATATATCGTACAAACAAGTAGTGGTGGAACTTGGTGATATACTTTGAGGGGGCCAACTTAAATTTTTAAAATTTTTGAAGATACCAATTTACACTTTTTTTAAAAAAGAATTGGAGTATAATTAAGAGTTTTAAAATTTTGATAGTCTTAATGAGAATTTTTAAAACTTATGATTAAGATTTAATTAAAAATATTAAAAAAATCAATATAGATTTCTAAAAAAAAGTTGGGGACCAAATTAAATATTTAAAAAATTTAAGGCATAAATTTTAATTTTTCAAATTTTGAGGGGATCATGACCCCACTAGCCTTCATTATCTTCCGCTATCCATACTACTTACAATCTCCAAGAAAAATAATATTTTCTTTAACAACTAAAATCACGTAATGAATTCAAATTTTTATAAAATTTGAATTTGTAAAGTTAATATATGCATAGAGAGAGTAAGTGACATAATTCAAGGAGTGAGAAGGATCATGTTTCCATAAAGGAATATGGTTTAATAAATATTTAAATTTTTAAATTTAAATATTTTAAAATTCTCTTATTTTTAATTTTAATATTTTTTTATTTCATGTGTGATCTTAACTGTCTATGTTATGTTGTTGAGAGACCATGAAAAACAGTACATTTTCATTTTAATCTTCATCCTAGAATTGTGGATTAAGGAGAAACTATGATGAAGCTCCCATCTAGGAAAAGCCAAATTGGAGTATTTAGGGAAGAGAGATAACTCATAATTAGCTTTGGAGTGACAATGGAACACTAATCTCAATGCAACTTTTCAAAACACACAAACCAATGATAACAATGAAGGTTGAAAAAAAGGCAACAACATTAGATTTTGATTTATTCTTATTTTTGTCACTCGAGTGGTGAATCATAAATAGAAGAGTGACACAATAACCAAGTGTGATAATGTGGAGTGCTTTTTATTAATATGAAATATGTGTCACATTGACGATGCAATTACCATTATCTAATGTATTCTCTGACTTCGTCAGATATCGATGAACTCAACTCATTGTCTCCTAACATTCTATCAGTTTAGATGTTACCTAAATCACTTTTAAACTCAGCCCGAAACTCAAAACTCATAAAATCACAAACCACTTTAATCTATAATATCCACCATTCAATCAAAGTGGAATCAAGATATACACATCACTTACTCTTTATCCATCTCTTTCATCGTTGAGATTTGGAAGAAGATGTTCCATCAATGTGAAATCAAAGGAAATTAGAAACCAGGGGCTTTTCAAAAAATTGAAGAAAAATTAGGGTTCATTTCTTAACATTTTTTTTAAAATTGTCTAATTATAACATTGTTAAGTATTTAGTGATTGAATTACCAAAATAAAAGTAAATCAAAATTATAGTGAGTAAATTGAAATTTGTTAAACTGTAATGACCGAAATAAGATTGAAAAGACAATAAATTTATGAAAATTGTAATTTACCCCTTTTATGATACTTTCCATTTTGTGTTTTGCTTTGACACCTTGCTCCTGTATTCAAGAGATGTGAAAATTAGGGATGGGCATTGGACCTGAATCGGACGAGTTCCGACCTGATCTAATCCGATCGGGTCGGGTTGGGTTTTTTTAAAAAAAAATAGGTTCGGGTCGAGGTTTTTTAAGTGTGATGTTTGGGTTTAGGATGAAAAATACTCGATCCAACCCTAAAAAATATATAATTTTATCTTATATATTTAGGAATAATTACAATAATACTCATCTATATATATATATATATATATATTCAATTAAGTCACTATTTTATTGAACAAAAATAATATTTTTTATTATTTTGAGTCGAGTTGGGTCGTGTGAAATTTTGTTTTGGTCGGGTCATGTCTCGGGTGGAGGATCCTTTGTTCTCGGGTCGCGTCAGGTAGACCAAAAATCCGACCTGACCTGAACCATGCCCCTCCCTAGTGAAAATCCATTGTTCAAGTGGGGATGGTATTCAATGATGTTTATGAATCAATTTAATGCTTGCACATGCCATTATGATGCTCCAACGTTGCCCTACCATATTGCATTCATTTTTAAAGATAACAATTCAAACATTTGCACCATTGACTAACCATAAATTGCAAATTCCATATTAAAAAAAATACTACATTGACTAACTATACTCTATAGAAATAAAAAATTAAATTATGAGCACAATTCAACATGTATTTCTTATCATTGTCACTATCTCACCCTACATTTGATAAAGCCATTAAAGCTAACAACTTAACTTATTCGACATTCAACTATAAATTTAAAATTAAGATTATTGTCAAATATATAAAAAAAATACTTTCGACAGCAATCTAATGTTTATTTTGTGGCTACTGCATAAATTGTATACCGATCTTAAAACTTTACGCTGATGAGAAAAGGATGGTTATATCGATCGACCAATTCATCTTTTTTAATTTGAACAAAAACCGAGCATGTGACAGTGTTGTAGAACCCTAGTAGGTAGTTTAGGGTGTTTTAGTTTAAAATGTGAATAAAATTAATCGTTGATCTTCTTATTAGTTGCTTAATGGAAGAGGCTTTGACCCATTTTTCTCGAATCATATTATTCCGAGGACCGAACAGATAACAGAAGTTGTTGCTTGTGTAGCTCAACTGAAATCTCTTGTGCCGTATGCTACTCGAACTATTATTTTTTGTCAAATTATTTCTTTCTTAAAATTATATTAAATATTATTTTTTTAATTTTATTTTAAACACATACTATTCTTTTAACGATGAATGATCAAAATAAAATCGAAATTAAATAAATATCAAAAGCATCTTTAGCCAGGGGACCCATCCCCAGCACTCAAACCCCGCCCTAAACTTAAGCCCAAATTGTCTCGAACATGAAATTGTTTAACCTTAATCTTATCATATCATGACCCTCTAATGATAGGGGAGTTCAGTGCCCGTAATTTTAGGTATTTGAAGTCTTAGATACTTGGTTTTGTAGGAAGTATATTTGTTGGTTTGTGTGTCCGCCTGTTAAGTCCGAGTATTTGTTTGTCGGTATCCATAAAATTCGGATACTTGATTCATATATATATATAATTTAAATTTTTTAAAATTACACATAAAATATGTAAAATTTAAAAGTTCATAATACATAATTTAAGCATAAATAGTAATTTAAAATTAGTTTTAAGGATAAATATTTTAATATATATATATATATATATTAAAATTTATTTTTAAAAGAAAACACTAAAATTATTAATAATGGTTGTGATTTTCATTTTAATCTTATATTGACAAATTAATAATTTTTTTTGAAAAATTTAAAACATAAAAGTACATAATATAAACCTAGAAAAAATTTAGAGATTTAAATTTAATTTCAAACTAAAATATTAAAAAGTATAATTTCAGCCTAAAAAACACACACACACATATATATATATACTATCGGATCGAGTTGGATATCCAATTGCAAAAAGATTTTAGTCTATATCTAACTCAATTATTCGGGAAAAATTATTGATAAGATATTCAGTCTAATCAAATAATTTTTTAAAAGAAATTACCGAAATAATTAAAAATTAAGTCACATAACCACAATTCTCAAAACTTTCAACAGCCCCACTTGACAAATTAAAAATAATAATGTGTAACAAGAAGAAAACAAAAATATAAAAAAAATAAAAAAAAATTAATAAACGAAAAACAAAAAAAAAACTTCAACTTTGGTGGATCTCTTATGGTCAAAGTTTCCATTTTAAGATCCCAATAGTGAAGAGACCCTTCCTAAGGCATAAAGCAACATATTTATGCTCAGGCTCGATCTAATGGCAAGATATGAAGATCAGAGAACAAGAAATCAAAGTGTTTAATGTTATATTATTGGAGTTTGGGATGTTTTCTGGTTAAATATACACTAAATTGATGTTCATGAGGGAGAAAAGAGTTTGATGGAAAATTTAGGGACCAATAGTCGTCGATGATAGTGGTTGATTGTGATGTGTGGTGATCGGAATCTGAATTGGATTCAAACGTTGAGAGAACGAGAAGAAGAGGATATAATACAAAACCAAATTCTATAAGGATCCAAAATGACATGGGTAAACAAGAAGCTTCTCTTTGGTAGACAAATGAAGAACATGAAGAATTACTTTTTGTACCAAATTGTTAAAGGGATATGCCAACCATCTTTTTTTTCCCATACATGATTAAACTTTGTTTTTATACATTTTTTGTTGGCAAAATCGATCAAATAAGATGACGGAAGAAAAAAGCTCGTATAAGATGGTGAGGAAAATATTTTTTGAAATGGGGTGATTGCTACAATATCAGAAAGACACACAGACCATCTAACAACGTCTTCTTCATATTCATGCAATTGAAACGTTAAAACTAACAAAATAATAAAGTGGAAGAAGCATTATGATCCCCGTATCTTCTTGAAAATATTGTGCTTCTAACATCTTCATGGTGACGCTGCGGCAATCATCTCATCTCATAAAATATTTTCCTCACCTTGTACGAGTCAATCTTTTTTCGACATCTTATACGATCGATTTTACCTTTTTTGTTTAACATGTTTTTAAAATAAAAACCTAATTATTTTGTACCAATATTCTGGACAGAAACAAGATTTCATATATAAAGTATAAAATTATGATTAGACAATTTTAGCCTCTTAGTCTCGATAACATGGCTAGGGGTGTAAACGAGCCGAGTCGAGCTCGAGTATTGCTGAGCTCGACTCGACTCGAAAACTCTGAAATGGAGTTCGACTAGACTCGAAAACTCACGAGTTTAAAATTTTCAAGCTCGACTCAAACTCGAAATCCTGAATTGAAGCTCGTGAGCATCTCGAAAAGGCTCGAAATGGAAAAAAATTCTTAAACTTAACTCGATTGAAGCCTCAAACTCAAACTCGAACTTGAACCTTAAATACATGAAAATCTTACTGTATTTTAAAAAAAAATCAATACGTAAATGTTAATATTATTAATAATTTATTTTTAAAAAAGATAGAATCTTAATATATTATTTTTTGAGTTGCTCATGAGCTTTTCGAGTCGAATATCAAGTAGCTCGTTTCGGCTCGTTAATAAATCGAGTCGAGTCCATTCGATCCGAGTATTTATCGAGCTTTGATCGAGTCGATCTCGAGTAGCTCACGATATGTCTCGTCTCATTTACTGCCCTAAACATTTTCTCACTTAGCTAAATACATTGAGTTTTTTTATCATTCCGTCGTTAAATAATTAACGACATTCAAACGACTCTATTTTTAAAAAAACAAATTTTCACCAAAGTGATATTCTTTTGCATCTATATAAAAATTCATTTATAATGTTGTTAGTGAGAAAACGGCTAAGTGACTAAAAACCCAATTATTAAGTTTAGTAAAAAAATTGAAGACATTTAAAGTAAATTGAGTGAAATAGGAGAGAGTGTAAAGTTTAATTACCAAGTTTGTAATTTACCCTTCTTTTAAAGAAATTTGTAATTTACGCTTCTTTTAAAGAAATTATATTTAGACGTAAAATACGGGTTAAAAGATGTTCAAGTATCGACATATTGATTGCTGTTGCATTCTCTTCTTCTTTCCTCGGGCTAGGCTTCCCAAGACGAAGTTATGAAGCAGAAAGATTCTCTGCCGAATGAAGTTGCTCGTCTTAGAATGGAGCTACACCAGACCAAAGAAGTCGCGTATCTTTTAGACCGAGCTGCTCATAGCAGGTATACATTTTAGAGTTTGCTTTTCTATTGAAAATTTCGGATGAGAAATATGGACAGTGCTGCAAATAAGAATCATACGTGTAGAAACGAATGATATAACTTTTTTTTTTATTTCGGATGAGGAATATGGACTGACAAGTTTGTGATTTTCTCATTCAGATCTGTTGGGAAAACTCAAATGAACGAACAATCGTCGAGAAGTCATTTTGTTTTCACCATGCGAATAACCGGTGTTAATGAGGTACGAGTGCTGATTTTGTTATAATCCGTAAAAATATAAAGCTGCTTCGGTCTCAATCATTTGTTCCACTGGCTGAGACAACATATTGCAGTTTTTATCCATATTCCTCTTGTCCACCAGAGCACCGAACAACAAGGTGTCTTGAACCTAATCGATCTTGCTTGAAGCGAGCGTATTTCCAAGAGTGGCTCAACAGGGGACCGGTTAAAGGAGTCTCGATTTTAACTTTTCTTCTCGATTTTATTCAGGCAATTAACAAGAGTCTGTCGTCTTTAGACGATGCTATATTTGCATTGGCAAAGGAGGAGGATCACGTACCATTCAGGAACTTGAAGCTCACTTATCTTCTTCAGGTAAATCTATACACATGCATGCAGTTCTTTGCCTATGGAAAACATGGTGTTCATCGTAAAGTCTTTTATCCGACACTCTTTCTTAATCCCATGGTTTAACCACAGCCGTGTCTGGGCGGAGACTCGAAGACTCTGATGTTTGTACATATATATCCGGAGCCCTCCTCGGCAGGTGAGTGCCTCTGCTCGTTACGATTCGCAGCGAGGGTTAATGCATGCGAGATAGGCACTCCCCGACGGCAACTCAACATGAGGACTTCGGATTCTCGCCTGAGCTATGGCTGATCTTTGTTTTTGTTTTTGCTTTGCCTGAACCTATATTTTACTACTAGTAGTAGATTGGAAAAAAACGGAGAGTGATTCTAACATAAAAGCGGCGTGTAATCTGTATAGTTAGTCATTGCACGTGTATGCTTTTTGGTTGTGCTGTATTACTTGATTTCTTCAACACTTCCATATATGGAGTTAAATACAATATTAAATCACATTATTCACTGTTCTCTCCGGAATTCAAACAAAAACTAAATATCAAGTATAATTTTAAACAATTAGAAATTTAAGTATTATAAAGAACTAAAACTGATAATTTAAGTATTAAAGACGTAATTTACCCCATCATATTTTTTGCAGCATATTTTCCATGAGTCTATAAATAAAGATATTTACTAGTTGACATCTATGGATCTGGTCCACTCATTACCTTATACCCCCATGTGGATTTTGTGCCATTTGTGTGAAAACAAAGGGGGAATTAGTTTAAAAGAAAGGCTACGGGGAATCCACAAAGTTAATTTCTCCATCTTTGAGCATCATTAACTTAAATAAGAATGTGGAATCATGATTAACAATTTCTTAATCAATGATGCAGATTTGCTAAGAATAATTAGTCAAACCCTCCCCTTTTGACTTGTGTGCCAAGGTAGCCAATAATAACTTGTCACGCTTTATTTTTTTACGTTAGCGGTTGTCGATAATGATATTTATTTGTATCTTGCATACTTAGTAGGAAAGAAGAGACATGAATAGGAAAAGTAAGAGTAAGAAGCCGACATCAAGAGTTGTCAAAAATAGATTCAGAGCACTCCTGGGATTTCTTCATCGCTCAGGCTAACAATCAAGGCTGCCCTGTAAAAAAATTAGCTTATCTTTATTTTTATATGTAATGGGGTAAGGGGAGATAAGATAGTAGGTTGCTCTCAACGCCAGATTGAGAGCAACTTTCGAGACCTCCATATTATGAAAATGCCCTGTAAGCATCCTCTTAAAATTTTAAAATTTTGTTTTATATAATTTAGATATTGAGATTATACGGATCCAGAGATAGGTCGAGAGGGTACGATTGTATCTCCCGAAATTTCTAAATTTTCGTATAATTTAGATAGCCATGAGTCATGTTATTGCAGATAATGGTACATTGCACAGCAGCTTGGTGCGTGCCTTCGGTGGCCATGAGCCCTTTGTTTGAACAACTGGCCTTCATCATCTTTTATTTTTTTCTTTCCATTCAAACTTGTCATAAAAACTTTTCAACCTCCTTGGACTACAATAGAAACTAAAATCTTTTTTATATGTCACTATCAACCGTCATATCAACTTGAAATAGAACAACATCAATCTTTTTGCCAAATACAACCTTCTCACTATTGGGATGACCGATAATCATTTCGTTCATCGAAAAATCACTAAGGTCAAAATGGGTAATTTTTCTTCTATCTTTCTTTCCCCTCTTTTTTACTTCTTCGATTGTTTTTGTTGTTGTTTGTTGTTTGATGCTATTGATGGTTGTGACTGTGGACGACGATTAAATGAGATCGGTGATGATGACTGATGTTTTCAATTGATTTGATTAAGGATGATGGTTTGTGGCTTTGCAGCTGTGGTGTTTGGGACTTGGATGAAATGATATGGAAAAATGATTCAATAGTCGTGGAAAGATGGTAAAGCTCCTGAGTATGGTGAATGTTATGTTTAATGGCAATAACAATCAAATTAACATGAAACGGCGATGACATAACTAAAAAGGGTCGATGATTACCAATTTGGAAGAAGACTCTAGAGTTTTTCAGAAAGAAAACTTTAACATGTCATATTAACTTTTCTTAACGAGAATGACACTGGTAAAAATAAATTAAAACTTCAATAATTATATAATAAATTTTAAAAGTTTAGTGATCAAAATTCAAATACTCTAAAAATTCAAAGATTATTTATATAACTCATCCTAATTTATTTAGTTACATGTGATTTTATTTATTGATTATAGATAAAAATGTACTGTATTTAACTGTAACTCTATGACTTAATTACTTTTTTTTATTGATTTTACTTGAAATAATTGAGTAACAACAAAAGGTAAAAAGCATCGGGATGTCTCCCGTAGGATAACCTAATATACGATTAAGAAAAGACACTACTGAAAATGTTATTAGTTTTTTAACATTTTCGGTAAAGCGTTACTTAAAATATTATTTTTTTACAAGAAATTTTAATATTGCGCGCTACTTAAAATATTAATTTTTCTATCGATTTTTCTATCAGAAATTTGGTAGTAAAATTAACATTTCCGATAAAAAATAATATTTTAAGTAACGTTTTACCGAAAATATTAAAAAATTAATAATATTTTTTATAACACTTTTTCTTTAATCGTATATTAGATTAACCTATGATATAACTGCCCAAAAAAGCATATAATAGTACAATACACATAAAAACATTGGGGCATAGTTTATTTAAAAAGTTACCCACAACTATTTCTTTTCTCACTCCAACAGTATGATCAGCTAATCACGTGGCCTTGCAAGCAGGCCGCGTTTACACGTAATTTTGACCTTAGGTATCATAAGTACAATAACACACGAAATTCACGTTTCCCAGAAAATTCAGACATAATTATTTAAGTGTTTTCCAAAAAATTCAAACATAATTATTTAATAATCTTTGATGGTCACACGAACCGAACCGAACGACTTTAGTAATAAAATAATAATTATTATTTTTTGAGATTTAATTTTTTACACAAAGAATATCCCTTATATAAAGGATGCGAGCGTTTAATATTAAATGATTGAGAGTTATATTTAAACAGATGTTATCTTATATTTAACCTAAATTAATAAAAAAAATATATTCGATGGTTAAAAATGAACTATTGTTCATTCGAGTAAATATGTCTAATAGAATTTGCATATATTTTCAATTGTTTTAAATTTTTTTTAACATATTATTTAATTATTTTATATTAATAAGAAATATACCTTACTTATATATTTAGAACTTAAATTTTACCAGTTCAATCATTTTTCACATGTAAAATTATAGAGGATTATGTTTTATTAAAATAAATTTAATTTTAAAATTTTATAGTAATATGATATTATTGGGTTCACCAATAATGTATGGATTATACACTCGTAATACATCGAATATTAATCATCATTATCTGTTACATTAGTTACTCTTGTAAGTGTAGTAGGGAAACATAAATTGAAAAAAATGGTATAATATATTACTTCTTAAGCTAAAATTTATATTTTAAATCAGTCCATAAATCTTAAAGAATTCTATATTAATCCTCAAACTATCAATATCATCTCGTTTTGATTTTTCTATTAATGTGTCGTTAATTATAGCGGTTAAAAAATAATATGTTTTTCAAGATTATGGAAATTGAACTTGTGATCTCCTAAAAAGTTAATTTATTTTTTAAGGTCCTACGATTTTTTTTAGAATGCCACAATGTCAATTCGTATAACTTTCAAAAACAGATATACTAATAGTTTGAGGACTGATATAGAATGTTTTAAAATTTAGGGACCAACTTAAGATTAGAGTCATAGTTTGGGGACCTCTTATACTATCATCTCTAAAACTGCATTGTAACATATAAAACCTCAAAATTATTAGGGTTTGATTTTACTAAATCACATATCACTCAATTATTAATGGGATTATAAATGTCATTAAATTTGAAAAATTATAAATCAATCACTCAACTATTTGATTATCACAAACAAGTCCCTACACCATAATTCATCCAATTGTTAACAAAATTATAAATAGCTTACTTAATTTAAAAAAAAAATCACAAATAAATCACTCAATTAGTCATACAGAAAATTAAAAAAGAAAGCAAGTTTTATATTTTTAAGACTCAAAGATTGGAGGCTCCACTCATCGATTTGAATGGAGAATAAGATTGAGGTTCAAGTAAATTAAAAGTTTTGGAGTAATTATATAACTCGAGAGAGATTATAAGTATACACTATAATGAAATGAACAATAATATTAATGTGAATCTTATAGTGATATTTGTGGTTCATCGATCACCATATGCGATAATCAGTCGTGATCGGTGCGATAGCGCTTGACTTAATCGCTACAATAGATTAATTGAGTGACTTTATTATTTAATGATCCGATGACTAGTTTGTGACAATCAATTAATTGAGTGATTTAGTTGTATATTTATAAATTAGATGATTCATATGTAATCTTATTAATAGTTGAGTGATTTGTAGGGTAATTTATCCAAAATCAAATCTAAATATATGATTGAATTATGAACATGAAGTACACGTTTCATTTATCAAAATCTGAGCCAAGTTGCCAACTGAGTTTATGAACCCTAAAAATCCCAAAAAAAAAGGGGATTCCAATTGGCCAACAAAATTGAGCAGGCTCATCACCTGCCACCAATCCCTAGCATTTCCCAAGAAAATATAGAAGAAAAAAGACCCCTCGTGATAATTCTCTTTCTTCCCAATCAGCTCCCGCCCTTCTTCAAAGCCGGAAAAATATAACCATAC